CGACTGATGTCAATATATTGATATGAGTCTATATCCTTTAGACATATGTCTACACACAGACCCCTGGCCCGTGAGCCTTGAACCCTGCACTGAGCCTGAGCCCTCTGTATGATTTACATTTAAAGAGTCATGAATGCTCAAAGATTTTTTTTTCCCTCCCGTTGATCGTCGATTTGCTCGAGCGGGCCCAGTAACGTCTCCATTGGAGACTTTGTTGTTACTGTGTCTGGCATATCGAATACTCTCGGTAGCTTGCCGGGCTCTCCGAGAGGGGCGGAGGAATCGAACTCGGGTCGGCCATGTTGGCCGCTTGTAAGGCGACTGCCCTACTGCTGTGCTATTGCTCCAGCTCAAAGATTGGTGAAGCAAAACATCAAGGCCTAAAATTGACATTTCCCTGTGGGTCTTCACGCCTGGGGTCCCAGACGTTCCTAAGGACACTCTGAGATCAGAAAGAACCAGTCCCTGAGCTAATGGGCAAAGCATGCTGGGCTTCCTGAGGAAAGGAAACCCTTCCAGGAACTAACCTGAGATCCCACCAAGGCCCCGCAGAGGGCAGGTTGGAGAGCAGACATCCGTGCACAAAAGAATGAAATAAACTTGCTTATCAATCTCGAACTGCAGATCCTGTTTCTTCATTTCTTGCTAAAACAATGCACTATCCTAAATTGGAGTTCATCTTGACTTTCGTTTTTAAGCTACCACTGATGTGCCACGTGCCGGAACTTTGTGAAATATTTCACGGATCCTAGAGCAGTTGATGCTCACCGTCATTGTACCGCACAGATGACGAACCTGAAACATAGACGGGTTGGTTGTTCCTGTCCCGAGCAACGGGTAGAAAGGAGAGCTGGAATTTGAACCCAGGACCTTTAACTTCTTTTTAGGTCTTGGACGTTAGCCGAACACTGTGTTTTACAAAACCGTTGGTGATATGGTTGTTTCAGGCATTCAGTGTTCCCAATCTCACCGCCAGTGTGACCTTCCCTCCAGCCTTGTTCCCAGTTTCCCACCCACCTACTTCCCCAGGCCTGCCCTGTTAGCAGGCATGAAATAATTCACCTTCAATTCCTGTCACAGCAGAATGGCAAATGGAATCATCAAAAAATAGTCCAGTGAAAGAGAATTTGGGCAAACGGCCCCATCGGAAGATTTCCTGGGGTGGTCGTGGCTAGCTGAGCCTGCTGCTGCGTTTCTACTTTTGCTCACTGAGCTCAGTGGCTTCTACTCAATTTTTTAAAAATCATCGTCTACTCAATTTGCTGTGCTCCCATTGGCTGTCAATACTGTGAAATTTAAAGATGTCCCATGGCCACATATGCAGCCGTGAGCCCCAGGAGCTGTGGAACTGGGATGATACCGTGGCTGGATGCCTCTCCTCTTCGACCTTAGTCATGGAGATGTGAAGCTGGACGGATTATAAGGCGGAGTATATCAAGTGTGGCTGGGGCACTGGACCCTTTGGATGCCAGAGGACTTGGCCGCCCCCATCCTAAGAAAGCCACAGAGCTGTCAGCGTAACAATCAGCTTCCTTGACACCTTCGTGGTTGGGCACCTCTTCAGATTTAGGACCTTTCGCTCCTTATACCAGGTATCTCTACCATGCTGGTTAACTCTTCTTTAAAGAGCTTGTTATTAGACCTAGATTTTGTTAAGGAAGAGAAAACATTTTCTCTTACCAAGGAACGTACCTTTAAAGGCACAAGAACTCCAAATTGTACGCCTTTTGTACAAATCATCGTGAGAACGGAAATAAATAAAACCTGGTTTTTTCTTCCCTACTTGCAGAAAAGGATGCTATTCCAGAAAATGAAAGTTCTAATGGATTAGATGAAAGCTATGAATGAGCCAACAGTAGTTTTCTCCTATGTTTTAATGGAAAAATCTCCTTTTGGGATGAGGGCATACCCGGCAGTGCTCAGAGCACTCCTGGCTCTGAGCTTAAGGGTCACTCCTGGCAGGGCTGGGGATCAAAATCCGGGTTGGTTTCCTGCAATGCAAGCACTCTACTCACTGTAATACCTTTCTGATCCCTGGAAACTCTTTTTTTTGGGGGGGGGGAATGCAGCAGAAAGTGGTGTCCATACTAGCAGTACTTGGGGGAACTGTGTCAGGGATACAGCTTGAGCCTTCCATCTGCAAAACATGCACTTCTGCTTCTCCTCTCTCTCTCTCTCTCTCTCTCTCTCTCTCTCCCTCTTCCCCCCATCTCTGCCAAAGGATGTCTGCTCAAGGATCAGGAGGTCAGCACTGCCAACTTATGCCACGTTCTCAAGCCAGAGCTCTGCCTAGCAGGCTGTGCTTTCTGGAGAGAGAAGGCAGACTCTGGGACAGGGCCTTAAAGGTGCTCTGGAGCTGGCCCCGAGAGCTGAGTTTCGTCTGTCTCGGTCTTCCTTTACTGAGAAAACAAAGAATATGCATCTTCTTGGGGAGATCTGAGATAATGGATCAAAATGCACGGCTTCCTATTAGGTGCTTCCCAGAACATTTGCCCAGGTCCTGTGATCACTTAGTCAGGAGAGAGAAGAGCTGAAGGGATTAAGCCAAGTCTTGACTTGTTTGCTTTTTGGGTCACTCTGCTGTGCTCAGGGATCTCTCCTGACAGGCTCTGGGGATACATCCAGTGCTGGGGGTTGAAACTAGGTCAGCTGCCTGGTGCTCCCTCCAGCCCCTAGGCTGGCATATTTATTGCTTGTTGAACTGAATTCAGCAAGACTATCCTGCCAGTGACATCCACCCACCCGAGAAGCTTTGTGAGGAAAGAAGACCGGGTGCAGCACCTGCTTCCAGGGACTTGCTGGTCCCGTAAAAGGCTCTGGTGAGTGACAGGGTCCAGGCGACAGGGGTATGGATTTGGGGCTGTTCTTCCTAAATGACACCATTCAGGGGCACCGGCCGACCCCACTGGGGGGCCCATCTCCTCAGACTGCTCAAACAGTGGGAGAAAAGCAGCGATCTCAGTAGACTCCCCATTTGCTAGGCTTTGGAGCCAAAAAGGGAATGTCTACTCCAAAATAGCATTTTTGATGAAATATCTAATTAAGTGCCTGCGCTTAATAACAGTTTAGTAATGTGACATAACTCCAATGATTACTTTTTAAATGATGCTCTATTTGGAATATATCATTAGTATTTTTCAGGACTCATTTTAGTCATTAATCTCGAACACACACGATAGGAGACGAAAATAGTATTGCTATTGAATGCTAACGTGTCAGTAATTTGAAAAGATTTCCTGTGACTAAGTTTATAACATCTTATTCATGCATTATATAATCTCCGCTAGAGAAGCTATAGGTTCTTTCTGTGAGGAGAAAGTGGTCTGGAACCCCGGGGACGTAACAATGTCAGAGCACGTAAGGGGCAGATGTGAGGTGGCTTTGCCTGGTGTCCGACGGTCTCAGTGGATAGATGCGATCACTCTTGAACCCATTTAAACAAATGCAATTTATTTTCCAGTTCTTATTGGCCAACTTAGCTTGTATCAAACATAAAACTATCCTGGCTAAAGAAGCTAAGTGTATTGTAAGAAGATTCAGTCATGGAGATTCATTAAATCATGGAAATCCCCTTTTCCCTTTCATAGGACCATATGCCTGCACGCGCAAACACACACACACGCACACGCACACACACACACACACGATGAATCCCTCACTTGTTAGCTTCACTTACGTGTACAGTAACTGTATTTATTGAAGGACGGGGGTGGGTAGAAAGTACACTTCCTATTTCTGGAATGTTCTCAGCAACCCAGGTTGAGCTAAGAGATTTTTTCCCTCCTCATTAGAATAACTAGAAATCTCTTAATCACAATGAACCAGACTGGAAGGTTTCTTCCACATCTAGTTGGTTCTTCAAACTTGGTCCCAAGTTCCCTTTGTTCATTTATGTAATCAGTGGGGGAAAAAGATAGGGCAGAACTTAAAAAGCAGATAATCCTGAAATGTTACGGTGCTTCCTCTGTCCCTTAAAACAAGGCCCATTATTCTCTGAAACACGTGTCAGGGCCCAGCTCTGAGAGAACTCACAGGGACTATTCCCACGCCTCAGGTCACTCAGGCTCTGAGAGGTGCTGTTGGCTGACCTACCCAGTCACTGCTTGCTATGGGATAGTGACACTGCCCTCCCAGTGGTCACCCCCAATGGTACCTGAGAGGAGGGGCCCCTTGGGTGGGGTCCTGGATGTGATTGGCAGGAGTGGGGTGAGACTAGTGAAGTCACATGAGGCAGAGATTGTTGTCAGGGTGGATATGATGTGGCCTTTTCCTTCCTTACCTGGAAAAGACAGGAGGGGGTGGGGGGTGGAGTGAGAGAAGTGGGGAGGGAGGGAGGGAGGGAGGAAGGATGAGAGAGAGAGGGAGGGAGAGAGAGATACAGATAGACAGAGACAGAAAAGAGACAGAGACAGGAGAGACAGAAGAAAGAAAGAAAGAAAGAAAGAAAGAAAGAAAGAAAGAAATAAAGGAGAAGAGGGGACAGAGAGAGACAGAGACAGGAGAGAAAGAGAGAGGAAGGGTGAGAGAGAGGGAGAAAGAAAGAGACAGAGAGACAGATAGACAGAGACAGGAGAGAGGCAGAGACATGAAAGAGATAGAGACAGACAGAAAGAGGAGACGGGGGGGGGGGGGGAGAGAGGAAGAGAGAGAGATATCCCGGGTGGCACCATGAGATTTAGTCGTCCTTCAGCCTCACACAGGTGACTCAACACGGACCCAGCACGATGCCCGTCAGTTGTGGGCGACCGGGTCCCAGTTCCACCCCAGAGACGCTCGCTCAGGGGAGCAGAGCTTCCTCCCCTCTGGCGCTCAGTTATTTCCAGTCCCCTAGAAATCGAAGGCCTGTAGAGTTGGGCCGATGTCTCTGTGACTTAACCAATTCCTAGAAAACAAGCGAAAGTGACCACAGGTGCCGGGAGGGTGGGGAGAGTATCTGGGGCCCCTGACCTCCCGTGGTGAGCTGGCAGCCAGAGCGCAGACACGGAATGAGAATGTGCAAGTTTACTTCTCTTAAGGTTTTATTTCTTTCAAAGTAATTTCCACACGTTTCTTTTTGGTGCAAGGATTTCAGTGATTTCTTTGGTTTTAGACATTATAGCTTTGTCTAAATATATAGCTCTATTTGTACCAAACATACACAATTTTTTAAAAAAATTAAAATTTCAGAAGGTAAAAATGGAATTATCACTTCAGTACAAAAAAAAAGGGACCCAGCTGGGTACTATGGCTATTATTGCTTTAATTCTATTGAAAAAATGACCCTAGAAATGAAGGCATGTGCCCCAACCGCCTGCCACGCGTAGGGCATCGGTTTGATTGTACGTGACTATCTATTTCTCTACCATCACCAAAGCCATCCCGATCTTGTCCTTAACCAAGCAGAAGGAAGTGAATTAGCACAAATAAATAAGTTGACCTAAGGGAATACAATAAATAGGATATGAGATAAAAACGCGGAATATTGTCCCACAAAGCCCCTCCGAGCTGTACAGGGATGCCAGGAGGTCTGCGCACAGTCGAAACTGACCGTTTTAGTGTGGGTGGGCAGCGTGGACCAGGGAGCAGGAGGACGCAGGTGGACCAGGGAGCAGGAGGACGCAGGTGGTACCTGGAGGTACCATCACTAGTCTGGAGCACAGCCAGCAGGGTCCAGCCCACGCCTCTCCGGCGGCTCCTCCCAGCCACACTGGTCCCCGTGGGCGGTGGGGGCCCCCGCCGCTCAGAAATTCTGCTGCCGCCTCTTCTTGGCATCCATGGCGTCGAGGATGGGCTGTCTCTTGGCCGTGTATCTCTGCCGCAGCTCCTCGATCTCGCGCTCCATCATGGGGTCCAGCGCCTTCAGTCGCATCTGCAGCTCTTCCAGACTGAGGTTTTTCAGCTGGTGGAGGGAAGGAAAGGAGCGTGAGCACAGCGCAAGGAGCCGGGGGAACGGAGGGCCAGCGGGTGAAGGGGAGCACGCAGGGAGCTCCTCCTGGCACTGACCACCGGATGTCCAGTGCCAGGGACCGGACCAACGTGGCCCCCAGCGGGCAGGGGGTGGGCAAACCGGCTGCTGAGAAGAACCAAAGGCTCCGTCAGATTTCCTCGCCCAGGTGTATGGTGCAGTAAAGCAGGGAATGACCCCAGGACGAAGGGTGGAGGAGGACAGAGAAGGAGAGAAATCAGAAGCAAGACGAGGAAGCGATGAGGTGGGGAATAGGGGTTGGGGTGGCAGTTGTTTGGGCCATGTGGCAGAGGGGGGTCCCAGAGATCCAAGGCGCACTCAATGACCCTCAAAGCAGAGCTCCCTGCTGACCCCCGGAACTCCGTGACTCGGGGAGGGCGGAGGTGGGGAGCACTGGCAGAGGTGGGACTGGCGTCCAACTATGTGGCTGGGAGAAGGAGCCATTGTATGGCCTTTGCCTTGCATGCAGCCGACCCGGGCTAGATCCCTGGCATCCCGTCTGGCCCCCTGAGCACCACCAGGAGTAATTCCTGAGCGCAGAGCCAGGACGAAACCCTGAGCATCCCTGGGTGTGACTTCCCAAACAAACAAACAAGGCGAATGCTTAAAACTCAACTACCAATAACTCTGTAAATCACGGTTCTTTAATGAAATGGAAATTATAAAGATCACATGCAAGCACACACACGCACATATATACACACACACACCACACACACACACACACACACACACACACACACACACACACAGCTGTAGACGGGAGACCCAGGTGCCAGAGTCCACAGAGACTGTCCCATTGTCCGTCCCTCTGGTACCTGTGCCCTGTGCTGTGCTTGCCGGGAGATACCTGTGAGGGCCCAGTGGGGCTGAGGTCGGGGTCCCGCTTGCCCTGATGCTGGTCCTCTCTTGGTCCCCCCGGGGGACACCGTCCCATGAGCTGTCTGAGCAGTCGGTGGCCTCTGGTGCGCCCCGTGGGTATTCGGGTACTTTGCGGTGGTTTCCCAAGCAAGCGCAGGGCACTCCAGGCAGGGCCTGCTTTATGGCCCAGGAGACCCCAAACTCTCCCCTTCAGAAACAAGCCTGCAAAGCTCGCGGTGGGTCTCAGACATCTGCTTGGGGCGGGGGAGGCGGGACAACGGGGAGGTGCGTACTTGGACAAGGTCGCCCCAGGTTGGAGATAGTCCCCCAAGAACCGCCAGGAGCGATCTCTGAGCACAGCTGGGTGTGGCCCCCAAACCAAACCAAACCAAAGAATCCACCAAATCATTTTTTAAACAAAATTTTAAATTTTGGCTAAATGTAAAGAGGTACAGATTCCGAGGGTACGCTCGCATCGGTGGGTACCGTGCGGCACGGGACTCTCCTCTGCCCTCAGAAGCCCGCGGCCTCACGCAGCAGGTGTGAAGGGTGAGGGAGGTGTGTGTGAGGGAGAACATGTGTGTGGGGATATGTGTGAGTATGTCTGAGAGAATGTGTGTCTCTGTGTGGTGTGTATGTGTATATGATGTATGTGTATGTGTGTGGTGTGTAGTGTGTGTGGTGTCTGTGTAGTGTGTGGTGTGTATATAGTGTGGGGTATGTATAGTGTGTGTCTGTGGTGCGTAGTGTGTGTCTAGTGTGTCTGTGGTATGTAGTGTGGTGTGTGCTATGTGTGTGTATGTGTGTGGTGTGTGTAGTGTGTGTATGTGGTGTGTGTGGTGTGTGTATGGTGTGTGTATAGTGTGTGGTGTGTGCTTAAGCCAAGGCTTCTTAACCTTCTTCCTGCGGTTCCGCTGTTCACCTGGTTGAACCCCTACTCTTACGCTGTGCCCCCAGGGTTACATGACCCCCACCTGTGCCCCCCTGGGGCTATCCTGAGTGGCCACGCGGGGACCACTTGTCCTCGGCTGTGAAATGCTCTTTCGAGCACGAGAGGTCCCGTTTTTCTTGCTGTGTTCTGGGGCCATGCTCAGCAGTGCTCAGGGCTTGCTCGTGGCTCTGCGCTCAGGGGTCACTCCTGCTGGGCTCAGGGCACCGACCCTGTGTGGTGCCTGGGACTGGAGAGGGTCAGTGGTGAGGGCCTTAACCGCGGTGCTATCCCCCTGGCCCGAGGCCTCAGTGGCAAGGGGAGGCCCCTGAAAGGTGTCCCGGGCACGGCTCAAGGTTCCCAGGAGGAAGGAGCAGGAAGGCCTGACAGGAGGGGGCTGTTGGCAGAGCAGCGTCGGGGCCGCGGGGGCGCCCACAGGAGAGGACGGAGGAGCCCGCGGTGGCTTTCATACGATGAGACCCGCACTGTGTTTGCCTGCGGGCAGAGAGGCGTCCTGGGGCAGCTTCTGCCCGGCCAGAGAGCTGCTCTCCCTGCCCGTGGGCATATGCCAGTGTGCGCCCGGAACGGCACATTCCGGCTCCTACCTGGGGGCCCCAAGTGAGTCTGGGTGGAGGGGAGGGAAGGGAATGAGTCACTCGCCAACGTGGGCTTTCTGGAGGCGCGAGAGGCTGGCTGCGGCGGGGCCAGGGCCGGCAGCTCTGAGGTGACCGCCCCTGCTCTGGTGCTGGAGGCGCGGTGTGGACAGAAAGCGCCCCCCAATCACAGCCCCAGAGGAGACCCTGCCCTCACTGTGACCCCCGTGTCGGCCTGCATCTGCCTCGCAGGGGTGACGTCATCCTGGAGGTGGCGGGCGGGGGGGGGGGTCCTCAGTCCTCCTGGGAGGGAGCGGGGCGGAGGCCGACACAGACCCTCAGGGCTTCCCCGAGAGACAGGCCTGTGCTGCCCCCCACCCTGTCTCCATGCAGCCACAACCCTCCCCCTCACTGGCTTCTCCTAGGACATTGGGGGTCCAAGTAGCAGCGGGGAGCTACGCCCTGAAAGACCCTAAGTGGTGCCCGGCTCGGTGGTGCCCGGGGCAGAACAGGGTCGGCTGCGTGCCAGGCCCGAACTGCGGTACCATCTCTCTGGCCGGAGACCTCATTTTCTTCTTTTTTTTTTTTTAGGCCACATCCAGCGATACTCTGGGGTTATTCATAGCTCTGCACTCAGGAGTTACTCCTGGCAGTGCTCGGGGGACCATCTGGGATGCCAGGGAATTGAACCCGGATCGGTCGCGTGCACGATAAACATCCTACATGCCCCGGTCCCCCTCCCCCTGCCCCCCGAAGTCTCATTTTGGATCAGAGAATTTACCCTTAGCCACGAGGGGGTGGGCATGCTGACAGGGAGGAGGGGGGAGGCGGAGGAGGAGGAGGAGGAGCGTGGGCTGGGGAGGGGTCGGGGAGGGTGAGAGGAGCAGGGGGCAGGGGACGGACACTGTCCCAAGGAAAACAAACTTTTGAACTTCGCAGGCACAGTGGCAGCATTAAGGGTGTCAAGAGCTACTCCCGCGGGCATGCGTGGGACTGTCCACGGGCTCCCCGGACGCTCTGTCCATCCGTCTGTCTGTCTGGGCAGGGCTTGTGCAACTTAGCCGTGTTTACCGGGAAACCAGACTCTTCCTAGCAACCGCGGAAATAAATCGCGCAGATGCGACAGACCTTGTTAGTGGCCTGTGATCCAAAAAATCTGGGTTGCGAACACTCTCCTGACTCATCCGTCCTCATCCCCATCTGCCCCGGCCCTGCGCGGGAACGGTGGGGGCAGGGCTGCCACGATTCGATTCGGGGCAGATGACCTCCCCCTGTCCCCCGGCATGGGCCCAGGCTGGGCCCACCTCGCAGGCCTGCTGCTTCCCTTCACTTCGGTGCCACCCCCAAGCAGGAGCCCCGAGGAGCCATTCGGGACTTCTGGAAGATTTCATGTCCCAGTTCGTGTCTGGGGCCGCATGTGGCAGCGCTCAGGGCGGACTCCTGTGCTCCGGGCTCAGAAAACCGTATGCGGGGCTGGGAACTGCACTCGGGCAGGAATGCGGCTGAGGCGAGCCGGCCCGGCAGTGCCATCTTTCTGGTCTGCGGGACACGTGATGATGAAACTCCCCGCCGTGCTGTTTGTGTCTCGGTCCCGGGGGAAGCAGAGCTTCTCAGAGTAGCTGTGCCAACATCTGGCATCCCGAGGGACCCGGGATGAGAGCTGGGGGCCCACGAGGGTAGTGCGGGGGCCACGCCTCCCTGCCCCCCACCCAGGCACAACGCGTGACAGAGAGGAATAAAGCGATACCATGTGGGGTTGGAAGGGGGGGGGTGGCGGCGGGGGGTGGGGAACCTGCCTTCCGTGCTCCAGGCCCCCGAGTCCAACCCTCAGCATTGCCTGGCACTGCCTCTGCACCACACGACCAGGAGGGGCCAAGGCACCCCCACCCAGCATCCTCTGCCGCCCCGGAAACATCCCGATGCTGGGCCAGTCCTGACCCCCGGACAGGAATGTTGATCCTCCCTGAGCGTCTTCCCAGCCTGCAGCCACGCCACGTGCTCCCATAACTGCACCCTGCCCTCCCACGGCGAGGGACTGGGACCGTCCGCCAGCCATGCGTGCAGGAACCGGGCTGACAAGGGGGAAGCAGAAGGCCTCCCGGCAGCGACCTCGGCAGCTTTCACGTGCCGTCTCCTAACGCTCTGGAAATCCCGGCTGGAAATCCCGGTCTCCACGGTCGACCCGACACCAGATTGAACCAAGGGCAGACGGAGTTTCTCCCGTTCCTCCAGTGACGACCTTCCCGGGGCTAGCTAGAGGGTGCTGTGGAGGTGCCTGGTGGGGCTGGCATGGGCCCTGCATGCAGGAGGTCCCTGAGCACCCCATGCACACGGAACGGGGAGCAGTGCTGCAGGCGACACCCAATACAACAGCAAGCAGCCACGCCCCCCACCGCCCCAACCCAGAGCAGCAGTGAGTCTGTACTCTGCGACTGCCCGGTCCCACAGCAGGGCACTGTCCCGTGATGCCTCTTAAGTCTCATTAAGAGAAGGACTCCCTTTAGCTGAGATAGAGAAGGGAGCACCAAATAAAGGGCGTTGGGAGGATCCTC